TTTTGACAAGTGTTCTTAAAATTACCAAAAAAGGTAATTTTTAAGAATTTGGTGGTTTACGGGAAAGAGTTTTTTTTTGTGGAAAGAGTTTTTTTTTATATATTAACAAGTATTATATATATATATTTATAATAGATCTAATTATATATGAGTAGCTATATATTTATACTACGTAATGCTATATACAAATACTATCTAAACTGGAATGGTTTATCAAGCCATTCATCTCAGAAAGATGTGCAATTCCTTCTTAATTATTTTCAGGATAATTTTATTTATAGTAAGAGTAATCTAGTTATCAGGCCATAGAATTCAGTATCCTGAATCCTATGTTTCGGTTCTTCGAAGTGGTTTACAGATTTTCTTCCCACCAAGACCTTCTGATAGTAAAGTCTGTGAAAAAAAGTATAGCCATGTGCTTGAAGATCAATAGATCTATTAGCAGTTTTGATTTATCCTCATCAGGTTATGTAAATCTCTTCTGATTATCAGAGGCATACTACCAGTTTGGGTTTTACTCTTTTTATTATCTTTTTGATAATGTGGTCATGTTAGGAATAATTCTATTCAATCTTGGACATTTAACCAGATCACAATATTTATATAGATCAGTAACTATACTTGGAAACATTGGTTGTTTTTGATTAAGCCAATAGATGCAAATCCTATCTGTTTGGATTAATCAGAGGTTTCACGTAAAGATGGGTCCCTAAATTAAAGGCGAGGATATAATTCAAATGTTCCTCACTATTAAAAAAGTTTTTTTTTAAATATAAGGTTAAAAAAAAACTACTTACAAAGGTTTTTTGCAATTTAGGTCACTTAATCTAAGTGTTTTTTGAATTATGTCCCTATTAAAGTAATGAATAAATAATTATGTCCCTTCAAAAGGGACATAATTGATCTGAAAAATTTTATATGCTAAATAGTTTAAGAACATATCCTTAATTTCACATTATCCTCCTAAAGGATTTGAACCTATATTTTGTGATTTGACCTGTGAAGTACTAATCACTGTACTATGGATTCACATGTATATCTTAAAATTAATTATATAATAATAATAATTATATAATTAATAAAAATCATAAGATATATTCTATTTTAACATTAATATATATACTGTATATATACCTTTTTTAATTTTTTTAAACATATTTAAAAATCTTTAATAAACTTTTTTAATTAATATATAACAATATATAAAATTTAAAAATAAAGATAAGATTTTATAAAAAAAATTCTTGAAATTATATTATAATAAAAAAATATTAATAACAATAATTATATTTACTGTATATTTAATTTAACAAAAAAATATTTATTATTATAATATTAACAAACAAAATCAATAATAATTATACTTTTAATATTTATTTTTAAATATTTTTTTTAACTATATTTTACTAATCAAAAAAATTTTTTTATTAAATTTAAATAAAAAATCAAATTATTAAAAAGGTATTAATTTTAAAAAGTCTCACATTTAATGTCTATTTGCAAAAAAAAAAAAAAAAGGGTATTAACTTTCTAATTTAGTAAATAATTATTTTTATAATTTTTTCAAATTAAGATTTTTATAAATATATTTATTTATTAACAGATTAATATTTATAGCAACATATTTCAATATATTATTATTGTTATAAATTTTATATTAAATTATTTTTGTAAAAATTGAATTAATAGTTAATAAAAATTATAATTTGAAATATATATATATATTTTAGGGGGGTTTTCCCTATAGGTAAACATTATTTCTTTATTTGATATTGTATATAACAAGGTATATATTGTAAAAAAAACAACATTTCTTACATATATAAAGTAGCAAGTTAAATGCTAGCTTGCCTATGTATATACATCTAGTTAATATTGAAAAAGAAATTCAAAACAATACTATATGCTGAATAGTAACTATACCTATCTATTTAGAAAATTTTGTGAAGTCTTTTTATTTTTTGAATTTAAAGTAATTGAAAAAAAAAATTAATGTTACTAGAATTAAAACTAAGTCAAATAAACTGTAAACTTTATAAGTAGAAAATCAATTATTTCTTCAAAAAAACTTTCAGACAAACTTATAATTCTATCTCTTCAGCTATTTGATTACTATAGATAATAAAGTATATGTGATGTTGTTTATTATTATAGTAATTGTTGTTATTATTATTGTTGTATTAATATATTTGATAGTTGGTATAGTGATTGGTTTAATTATTAGTAATGAGATTTTTTTAAGTATTACTAAGAATAAAACTAAGTTAAATACACTGTAAAATTTATAGGTAGAAAATTAATTATTTTCTTAAGAGGATCTCAAATAAGCTTATAGTCCTATTTTTTCAGCTTTTTGGTTACTATAGATAATAAAATATACATGATGTTGATTGTTGTTATAGTAATTATTGTTGTTGTGTTGATATGTTTGATAGTTAATATGATAATTGGTTTGATTGTTAATAGTGTGATTTTGTTTTGATTATTATTACTAAAAGTGGTTTTGTTTATATTGATCATTGTATAGTATACTGGTAATATGGATTTGTTTTGAATTTTGATAATATTTGATTAGTTGAATTTGAAATGATAATTAATTGATAGGAATAAGCTAATTATGATTTTTTGGTGAGGAATTTTTTGAATAAGAATTTTTGATTTTTTGTAGTGCAGTAGTATATGCTAAATGATATTAAGAAATAAGTATTGTAAATATTGATAGTACTTCAAATCAATAATATAGACAATTTTGCAGTAGTATTTGATTTTTTAAATAAAGAGAAGCTATTCAAGCAGAAAATTTATTTATTTAATAAGAAGTATATATTAATAAAAAGTGAAAATGGAAAGAATTCCAAGGAAAGTTTATAAAGAAGTGACTGCTATAGGTCTTTCCTTATACAATTCAAAAGAAAAACAAGTTTCTTAAACTTGTTTTCTCTTGATTAGAGGTCCCATCCTGATGTACTAGTGTACTTCTTTAGTTTTCTTGAGGTTCTTGTAATGAAGATAAGAGAAGTGTAAAGAACTTTTAAATATTGAAAAGCAAAAAAAATATTTGTTTCTTTAATTTTGAAAAAAATTACTATAAAAGAAAATTTTTTAGAAAAATGTTATGTATGGGAAAGAGTTTTTTTTTTTCTATAATAATTAGTTTTTAATTACAAATATTTTATTATTAAATTTTTTTTATTGTTAAATATTTGTTTTTTGTCAAATTATAAATTATTTTTTATTTTTTAAATACTAAATAATATAAATCAACATTAATTTTTATTAATAAATTTGAATTTAATCAACAGTAATTTGGCAGTTAATAATTTAATTTGGATTATTTTTAATTATATTACCTGTAACTGAAAATTATAACCAACAAAAAATTCAACAGGTTTTAAAAAATATCAGATATGTAATTAGATGTTTTTTTGAAGATAGAGAAAAACAATTTGGTTTTTATTCTTTTCGTGTGAATATTTTATCATATACAAAAGATGAGATGTCAATTTAAGATCCGTTTCAGGCATAATATTAAAAGTATGAATATTACATTATATGTAGGAATACTGTATTTGTATTTGAATTATTAAACATTTGATCATATATAATCTTAAGTTCGGGAATAGTAATTTTTAAAGATTTATTATTTCATTAAAATAAGTTTTTCGCGTAGATCTATTTTACACTTTTTGGCCAGTAATTCAAGTGCACCTTTTAATTGCCTTTTGCATTTAGAAGGTTGAGGCATGTTGAGTTAAAAAGAATTAGAGTTAAAATAATAATATACAAAAACTACAGTATTTTCAAATTTACTCTCGCTACATTTTAAATTTTTCTTAACTAAAGCCAATTTGAAACAAAAGCACATTTTTTTTTAGTTAAATAATGAATTACAACAAAAGTTGAATCTTAAAAAGATTTAGCATCTTAAATTTTTGATTAACAAAGTCAATTTGTAACAAATGCTCATGATTTTTTTGATTAAATTATATAATAATAACAAATGTTAATCTTAAGGCATCAGCATTAAAACCATCAACAAAAACTTACAAAACATACATTCAGTATGATAAAACATTTCTTTACACAATCACGGTTTTAAATTTTTGGATATTAAAGCCAATTCGTAACAAACCTCATTTTTCGGCTAGAGCATATATAGAACACTAATGTAACTTTATTTGGCTACACTATGACAATTGTTTGCTACTATGGTTACTTGATAGTATTTACTAATAAGAACGTATCGATTTTGTTGATCTTGACTAATTAGTATTAACATAGTTTTTTCATTTCTTAGTTTTATAAACTTTTTGCTTCTTAGGAGACACATGCTCTTTGACTCTTGATGACACCAATACGTTTTCTACAGAGTACTTCTTCTTCTTGGAGGCTTCCTCCATCAAAGTGAAATTTTTTATGGTTTGCTTAAAGATATTCTGCATAAAAAATAAAAAAATAAATAAATAATAAATAAAATTTTTAAGAGAATTCGTCAGCTTACTTTAACCTGCAGCATCATCCATGCTATTGTTGAAATCTTGTTCATTTCATCAAATTGAGTGGGTATATCAAATTCTGCTAGAATGATGGATCCATAATATTTGCCGCCAATGTATACGTTTAACAAAACTCGAATAAAAAATCGAGATGAGATAAATCCGGGCAGAAGCAGTTTTCGGAAACCTTGAACAACCTTGACAGGCAAAGCACCACCACCTGCGTTAGACAAGGTTTCTAATAACGTCTGATGCATGTCACGGAGTGTTTTTTGCACCTTGAGTGTATTATTAAGTATTTTTCTTCCGTTTTCAATTTTGGACCCTGCTCTTTCACACAGAGAAAATTCTCGCCCCCAAGTAAGATCTTTTGCAAGATCATGTTTCTGTAAATAAAAATTGTTAGGAATTATTCAATTTTGTTTATTCATAATAATGAATTACAAAGATACATACCGTAAAAAGCCAATCTAGATGATAACCTTCTGCTTTATCAGAAGCATCAATTGCTTGAGTACGGCGTTGTCGTGAAGCTCTAGAGACTACCTCCCCACTAGTTAATATTGAAAAGGTTCGTATCAGCAAGAATACATATAATAATCTCAATATATTAATGTGAAATCAGTTTGAACTTACAAATGCAAATCCATAATGTCATCAAAACAAGAAAACAAATGATTCTTAAAAATCACATCAATATCCCGTTCTGAATTTTCTCGTTGTGGTATTTTTTTATCGATCATATTGTACCTAGTTTACATGAGTATTCAGTTATTCCAAAATTCTAGCTACATGTAGCAATTCCCATACTTACGTATAGCGAAGAAGTTCAATGATGTAACAGACATCTGGGTGTTTATAATCTCCATCTTGAA